TTAACAGATGGAACAATTAGATTATTTTCAGGGTGCCGTCATAAGACACACTCATAAACATTTCAAGTTAGTCGCTTAAAGTCAGCTGGCGAAGCAAGTCATAAACTATTCTGAAACAATTTCATACATCCCACCTCCTCCCCATGCCTGCATCCATGAACCCAGTTGTGATGGTATTCGGGGCTAGGGGGGGCGTTATTGTAAATTTTACCCTCACCTTACTGGGCAAAAAATGTGATGAAAAATATGTAAAGTTATATAGTTAATCAGTTCTGTTAAAGTTAATAAATATTACGTCATTTTATTAATAAAATGGCTAGGGGTAATTGTAACCCGGTCCCCTAGCTCAAAATATCCCAAACTCGTGTTTGGCTTTTTCAATCGTAATTAAGACCGCGGGAAAATGCCCAGTAATTAACGAATTGCGGAAATGCAACATCCATGGGGCGACATGTGAGGAAATAATACAAAGATTACTCGCGCAAGATGACAGACATAAATATTAAGACGACCCGTCTGCGTCGAAAAAAATCTCTTAAACCCTCGGCTCTCCTTGTTTGAGGTAATCGGCTTGCGAAAATGCTTGTATATTCACCAGAATGTGTGAAAGCATGTTGTATAATATATATGCTTCTATATATATATATATATATATATATTATATAATATATAATATATATATATTATATATATATATATATATATATATATATACAGTCATTCCCAAAAAGGTTGTCCAGACATATATATATAAATACATAAATATCGCGCACGTGACCGCTAAAGATATGCATCAACTCGCGCGAGGTTTTGCGTGATAATTGCGAGTTTGGCTATCGTGGTCGTTACTTACTTCCCTAAAATGCCAAGACCGTATTCAGATGATTTGCGCTGGAGAATGGTATATCAACGTATATTTTTTGAAAGAAGTTACGATGAGGTTGCATCTCAGTTATTTGTCTGCCCCAAAACTGTTTACCGAACAGTTAGCACTTTTCTTGCCACGGGTGATGTTGAAACCATGCATCTTGGTCGCCCAAACGGGAGCACAACTTTGTTTCCTCATGAAGAGTACATTATCATGGACTGCCTTCTGCGAACACCTCAAATACAGCTTAGCGAAATAGCTAATTACATTGTCAACGCTACTGGCTCTGCTTTTGGTCCACAGACGTTGTGTCGTGCACTCTACAGGCTTGGAATAACACGCAAGAAGGTAAACATGAATATATAATAATATTTTGAGACTCTATAGAATCCGTTTCTAGCCATTATACCTTCATGAAATAAGGTATAAAACATATACTCTCGAATACAACTTCCATCTTCAACACAATATTTGAAAAAAGAACGGAGAGTATATATAAGGTTCAATAGCAGTATTTCGAATTTATTATATAGTACCAAATGTTCCGTAGCTATTTACTCCGAGCGATGATAAATTTGTAATAACTTTGGAGATTCTTATAATATACAGAAGTTTCATGTTTTCCATGCTAACGTTGGCTATAAATCTCAAACAATAATTATTGCAGCTTAATTTTCAACTTTTTAAAAGCAATTTCTTTTGCAGATACACCGAATTGCCATGCAACGGAACGATGACCTGAGGCAAGAATTCAAAGCAGAAATCAGCGTTTTGCATCCAAACCAACTTGTTTTCCTTGACGAAACAGGAATTGTATGTATAGAAATTATTAGGCTGTACCCTTTTCTAAAACCCTGCTAGACAAGCTGTATATATTCACTTCTTCCTTTTATGTATAGTTGTGTTTTGTTTTTGTTTATAAGGATAAACGAATTGCTCGACAGTTCGGATATAGCGCTCGTGGAACACTTGCTATTGTTAAGGACTTTAGCTATGCACGATGGGCGCCTCATTATTCGGCAATTTCAGCGATTTCGAGTGACGGGCTTCTCGCTAGCGGCTTGCTAAAGAATGCAGATGAGAGATTTGACACTCACTCTTTTATACGGTTTCTTGATGAGCAGCTTTTACCAGCAATGAATGTGCTCAATGGGGAAAACCCGCGATCCGTCCTCGTAATGGGTGAGAATATAGCCGTGATATTTAAAGTTTAAATAACAACAATACCACCATTTGGTTGTAACCTCATTCGCACTGCGAGTTATTAGATTAAAGTTGTTTCGAGTATAGGGCCTTTATATCAAGTTCAATTATAGACAATTTCGGTTTATATTTTTTTATGTACGCCACAACGCCGGTGACACGCAACGCTATATAGGCTACATACTTGTATAACGGAGCCATGCATGCTATCATGCACTTTGCCACTTTCAGTAACCTAAGAATATTATATTATCGAGGGAACTTTTAAGCATTGCGTTGCAAATTTCCCCGTCTAACATGGATAGATATCGTCGTCATAATTAGAGCCTCTATATAAATACATTAAATGAAAGAATATTTTGCAATTTCCGCGGATCAAATATAGCCAGCGTGATGCATGTACCCCAGACAATCACTGAATGTTATTTGCCCAAAAGCTTCCCTTATAAACGGGCTAGGATCTCGCACTGATTGCAATACTAAATCGTTCTGTCGTAAGTAGTGTTTCACTTTGGCAAAAGCCTCTTCGATTGGGTTCAAGTCAGGACTGTATGGTGGTAAAAAGCGGATAATTACTCCTGAGTCATAAATGTGATCGATCACTTCTTGGGCATGATGCACCGGGTGGTTATCCGCATGTAAAAATAGGAGAAACATGTTATTGACGAATGGCACATAAAATCATAAACTACCTTGCACGCATTTCTCATCTTATCTATAAACTACCTATAGATGTAGTTGGCATACTAACCTCAAAGAATTGTTGTCTGCATGCCCCTTAGTTTGTGTATAATACGAGTCTTTAAAGTCCCTTGAGACATTGCGGAAATACACATGCACGCGTATATTAATTGGATTCTCACCCATTACCAGGACGGATCGCGGGTTTTCCCCATTGAGCACATCGATTGCTGGTAAAAGCTGCTCATCAAGAAACCGTATAAAAGAGTGAGTGTCAAATCTCTCATCTGCATTCTTTAGCAAGCCGCTAGCGAGAAGCCCGTCACTCGAAATCGCTGAAATTGCCGAATAATGAGGCGCCCATCGTGCATAGCTAAAGTCCTTAACAATAGCAAGTGTTCCACGAGCGCTATATCCGAACTGTCGAGCAATTCGTTTATCCTTATAAACAAAAACAAAACACAACTATACATAAAAGGAAGAAGTGAATATATACAGCTTGTCTAGCAGGGTTTTAGAAAAGGGTACAGCCTAATAATTTCTATACATACAATTCCTGTTTCGTCAAGGAAAACAAGTTGGTTTGGATGCAAAACGCTGATTTCTGCTTTGAATTCTTGCCTCAGGTCATCGTTCCGTTGCATGGCAATTCGGTGTATCTGCAAAAGAAATTGCTTTTAAAAAGTTGAAAATTAAGCTGCAATAATTATTGTTTGAGATTTATAGCCAACGTTAGCATGGAAAACATGAAACTTCTGTATATTATAAAGAATCTCAAAGTTATTACAAATTTATCATCGCTCGGAGTAAATAGCTACGGAATATTTGGTACTATATAATAAATTCGAAATACTGCTATTGAACCTTATACTCTCCGTTCTTTTTTCAAATATTGTGTTGAAGATGGAAGTTGTATTCGAGAGTATATGTTTTATACCTTATTTCATGAAGGTATAATGGTTAGAAACGGATTCTATAGTCCGTATAGAGTCTCAAAATATTATTATATATTCATGTTTACCTTCTTGCGTGTTATTCCAAGCCTGTAGAGTGCACGACACAACGTCTGTGGACCAAAAGCAGAGCCAGTAGCGTTGACAATGTAATTTGCTATTTCGCTAAGCTGTATTTGAGGTGTTCGCAGAAGGCAGTCCATGATAATGTACTCTTCATGAGGAAACAAAGTTGTGCTCCCGTTTGGGCGACCAAGATGCATGGTTTCACATCACCCGTGGCAAGAAAAGTGCTAACTGTTCGGTAAACAGTTTTGGGGCAGACAAATAACTTAGATGCAACCTCATCGTAACTTCTTTCAAAAAATATACGTTGATATACCATTCTCCAGCGCAAATCATCTGAATACGGCCTTGGCATTTTAGGGAAGTAAGCAACGACCACGATAGCCAAACTCGCAATTATCACGCAAAACCTCGCGCGAGTTGAATTGCAGAATTAACCAAAACAAGCGTTTGCCATATAATAAAATATGCATATTGAGAAGGAGCGAGTATAAACACATATTTCTAACAGAATTCACCGCGAGTATTTATCAATATCTCCCGAATACACGCACTTCAACCTAATCTCAAAGTCTCAAACTGCCAGACAAAGGGGGACCCCGAAATGATAACCAACTGATAAATCGCCTCGTAATAACACATGCTACTCTTGTGAATTTTCAACGTGCAAATCCGCTTTCGGTTATACAGAATACAAAGGAAGCAATCTCACAATCATAGACATAGCTATAAGTCAGCTAATCCGTTTTCATTTAGACTTAAGAGGCCAACTCAAACGAATGCAAATCGAGTCGGAATTTAAAAATTCAGACTCTCGACTCGGTCGATTTAAGGCTTTTCGGCTTTTCTGATCGAGACACAGATTCGAAAGAATTCCGTACCGTTTATAATCTAAGATATAAATAAAACCGTAAATTGTTTGCTTCTTCGTGGGGTCCTGGCGTTTAGTCAACAATCTATTCGCTCGTGTGAAATGCCCCGTGTTTGGACAAGTATATCCGGTAAACTATTTATGAGTAAACTTTACATCTCCACTTCAAATCCCCAGGTTCAACGTGTTTCAGTTCCAAAATTTATACCACGCGAATATAACGTGCATGAATCATGGTCTTCAGTCCGCTCAAAACAAGTAGTGGAATATAATGCCTATATATGTTCAGTTTAAGATTGTTTTGTATTCGTTATATTCTTAGGGAACTTTATTTTTTATTTACAAATAAGGTACTCACCAAGTACATGCAATTTGACGACTCTTGATAATGTTTTCCATTTAGCTGGGTAATCGCTTATTTCACAAAGGTAGTCCCCCTCATCTTCAATCGTAACGTTGACGATCTGCAAAGTTGCCTGATTAACGATCCTAACCCGATGTTTATATCGTTCTGGAATTTGTTCTGACATAACCGGTGGTCTGTGTGATTTAGCATTTTTCGCTCTGGTCGAGAAAAAAAACACTTTATAAAATGAATACACTTTGGGTGAAATGCGCTCTGAGATTCCCCATTTCAAAAGGACATCCGTCTCTTTTGCGTGATACCTCCACAGAAATTTCACCGTTTCGTTTACTACCGCTTGAGTCCTGTTGGGCCATGTGATGAAGTCCAGTTCAAACGAACTCTCTCCGCGATCCACTATAAATATATACGAAACAAATAACAAATCTATATTCATATAAGGCTTGTGCAGTAGTTTGCACTTCTAATTTACAAACAGCCGATGCCGGTGGCTAAAAACGAGAGCTTCGTGCAGTCTTTGTTCACTCTTCTAGCATGTGTCATGTAAACCTTGTGACAAAAATCACTGGCATGGTCTTAGGAGCTGGAAGAGTTTGGGGGAAAACAGATTTACGATTATTTTTGGTTGTATGGCTAAATCATCTCGTAATTGAAAATTATTTCTCGTTCTAATTTAAGATTTACAATATATGTATATGTATAAGAATTACGGCCAGATCCAACGAGGCAGTCGAATAAATTCATTGAGGTAAAACGATTTATCAATTTCTGTACAATTTTATCAACTGAAACATTCGAGATTTTGCTTCGTTGACACGTCCGCCGATTTACTCGATGTTGTTGCTAGGTTTTAGCGGACGAATTCGTTTATACTCTCTAGGTTACTACTTACTTACCCCAGGAGATAATGACAACTATGAACATGTATAACAAACGAAATCTTCGCATCTTCTCTGCCGACCGCAAGAAGCGTTTCAAAACGAACCAACGTTCAATGAGTTACGGGAGACTTAAATCCCTCGATCAGTTACCGATAGAGCACAGCCGCATGCAATAATATTCGATACTTATGGGCGGCCGTTACCACCAAAAATCATAAAGACGGTGAAAAGCATTAAAAAGTGTACGATGATTCAACAAAAGCGTAAATTATTTAACAACATCTGAAATGAGATAATCCTTGGACGCTACACGACATACATAAAATTGAAGTGGCGTACCTAAGTGTCTGATATATTAACTTGCACGTGTTGAATTCATCAAACAAATGTAAAATCATACAGGGAGTTGCAAAATGCTTCAAGCACTTGTAGAATGCGACAGCTTTCAGAAGTCTCAAGCTGCTTGCATGTCTTAATTTGTGCAACTGGTTTTGCATTGTAATAGCCAGTTTTAAAAAATAGCTAGTTTCAAAATATAGCTAGATTTAAGATAGCTTATTTTCAAGTAGTTAGAAGTGAAATAGCTAGTTTCAAAATAGCAATAGTTCTAAAATAGCTAGTTTCAAAATAGCTAGATTTAAAATAGCTAGTTGTAAAATAGCTTGTTTTGAAATAGCTAGTTTTAAAATAACTTGTTTTCAAGTAGTTAGAAGTGAAATAGCTTGTTTTGAAATAGCTTGTTTCAAAATAGCTTGTTTCAAAATAGCTAGATTTAAAATAGCTAGTTGTAAAATAGCTTGTTTTGAAATAGCTTGTTTTCCAGTAGCTAGAAGTGAAATAGCTTGTTTCAAAATAGCTTGTTTCAAAATAGCTATTTAGTTATGAACATTTCAAGATAAGTTGTTTTTAAAAAATTAATAAACAAGCCTAAAATATAAATAAAAATCTCCGAGTTTCATAGGAAATTAGTATTGATGTTTCATTTTGCCTACATGAAGTTTGAAGACACAAATATCCGTTTATTCGATGACACACTCACACACGTAGAACTAAATATAGGTGAATAAAGAAGGTATTTATATTTATTGTATGTTATTATTTGATATTTTAACACGATAATGTAGCTAAATATTATCTATCGTATTCCAGAATGAGTACTACTGTTGCTGATCTAAAATTGGAAAGATGGTATGAATGTGAATTTAGATTTTGACAAACATTTGGTATTTGCAATTTGCGAGTATTGCACGGACTACAATACATGCAGGGTGTCTCAAAAAGTTTACTGCAAATAGTATTTCAATGCAAGTGTAATTAATTATATCTCTGGGGTTTGGTACGCATTATTCCTTAAGCTTGTTCTTCGAATAGCCACACAAATTCTAAAAGTACGAATTTGATAATCCGGCCCAGGCATGATGGATTGTGTCTTATACGCCTGTCGTACGCTCCCTTGGGATCAATTAGCGCTAACTTATGCAACTTCATAAATATCTTATTTTGCACTTTTTTAATGCAATATTTTGATATATATACCTTGCAGCGGCGTAGCCAGAACGATAATTGGGGGGGTCCATATTCATATATTCGTGATACGCAGGATTAATTTCTTTTCAAATCAATTGTGTTTACAGTCTATTTACATGAATATATGAATATGGACCCCCCCAATTATCGATGCTGGCTACGCCAGTGATACCTTGTATGTCACATCTTAGCTAATAAAAAAATTATGCGTATATACAGGGTGTCCAAAAAAATCCAAAAACGATTGAAATCAACTATTGTTAAAATTTCAATTATTTCTTGCTCGTGAAGATTAACGTAACTTATAAAATGTTAAATAGGCCTACAAAAAATTAAAATTTTCTAGAAAAGAAGGGCATGTCGAGGTCATGGTGCTAGAGTTGTAAATTCAAATATTGTTATCCATATTTCTAAAGTTTAATTGTGTAAATATTGTCAATAGGCCCACTGAAAAATCATTTGTGGATACAAACACATAATACATTCCGTAATGTATTAAATATTGATTCTAACGATTTAATATTTATATCGAAAGAGAAGGAGGGGTTATTTAGCTTTGGAACAATACCTTTTACAAGAAATAACCAAATAATCGTGAGTTGAGAATAGACCTTTCCTATTTTAGCTTTCAAGCGCATTGCATATACGCATTACGCATGACGGTAGTTGATTATCAAGGTCAATTTGAGTTATGATTTCGTCATCTTCAGAAGCGATTTAGTTTAAAAAAGAAGCAAAAAGAATCGGCAAGGTTTTCTTATACAAACAAAATCGCTTCTAAGCAGAGCGATATCCCAACTCCCAAGTCAAAGTTGCTTGATCAACTACCGCCACGCGTTGCGCGCTTCAAAGCTAAAAGGGGAAGGTCTATTGTCGGTTGAAAACCGCATTCTTTTCCCAGTGGGAATAAAAAATTTAAATAATTATTTTTTGAATACCTTGGGTATTGCCCGTATGGTACATTACGGCTATACATACTTCATGCTGTACCAATGTTTAAGGAATTTTAGGATTTTTTAAATCCGATATTGTTTTAGAGTTCCGACGGCAACCTCCCCTCAAATTCGAATTCAAGACGTACTATACGGCAGCTGATTGATCAGCTTAACAATCAACTGAGCGGTAGCGCAGCTGATAATTTGCAAGTCAGAGAGAGTGTTCAAGATATTAATCAAAGCCTAAGGCCAAACCCGCCAAGGAGCAGTGCCCAAGAGAATCAGTTGCAAAATGCTCAACAGCCAACTTCTAGCGCTTCACTAACGGCTTCTCTGAATGTCAATCCAGCAATTTCTGAGCACCGTCGGTTATTTAGTCGGCAATCTGTGAGTAACTTATTCATTTTATATTTCACATATCGTCAGGTGGTAGCTGCATGTTTTCGGTATAGGATCCTTAAATAGTACATTTGTACGCATGGGTTGCCTCAATTAAATTATAGGCAGCAAAATCCTATTTGTGTAAACTGTTTGTTAATTGCAGCGAATTCAGCCGTATAGGAGACAAAATGGTAGAAGCTCAAGTCGAACTGCATCCAGAGGTACAGATTTTGATTTTGATCTTTTTTTCGGCAAAGTGTTGTTCAAAGACAAAGTCAGCTGCAGTCCAGCTTTTTATACAGCACAGTGAGTCACTCTTCTCCAGCAGCAAACGTTGGAGAAGGCACCAAACGCTCTACTTTGCGGAAGGATTAGGCAATTGGACCAATATTCAGTTATATCTATATAACTTTTTTAAAATTTATTTAATGCCTGTATGTAGGGAAAACTATCACAAAGTCAATATTTTGCTTGGCAAGAAAAGATCAGACACAAGTTTCCTCGGCATCAGAAAAGCTTCAACTGCACGAAAACGGTTTGGGGGAGAAACGTATTTCATTTCCTTCTACAGCATCGAGTGGTGAAGTAAAAGACATTTTGTACAAGTATTGATACGACGACTCTTAAGCATACAAGATTTTTCATACAAAATAAGATCTACTGAGCTATATATAGTCTGATATATACTGTATTCTTTTGTAGACACTATCCTGTACTAAAATATGTAGGCGGGATGCAACTACTTCTCTCAAAAGAATCTGCCCGAAAGGAACTACACGTGGTTTCCCATGGTTGCTGTAATGCTGAACAACTTAAATGCTTTGGTACTGGGCGTGTATATATCCGCCCTCTACAGAAGGATATACCACTTGAAAAAAACGACAATACTGATGTGCAGTTTGAAGAGTGTCTTTCTTGTCAAGCATTGATTGCTATTAATGAAATGCAGGAACATCTAAAGCAATTGTGGCAGTGTGAGCTATTGACTGAACACAGTTCCTTTGTGCATCAATTTTTTAGAAAATTAACACAATTTTTTTTCTGCTTATATAGAGTGATAGTGGTTCTGAAGGATCTGATCAAGAAATTAATGACCCAATGAAACAGTGAGTCGACATTGCTTGTAAAATTTTTCAAAGGAAATTTGGTCGTGTAAGAGCAACCTTAAATATATACTGGGCTTGCACGAGCAAGTAAGAGTCTAAATTATGCTTGATATATAGTTGAAATGGGTGCCATGTTGTTCTATATAATTGTTGGTGCTCTCCTGAATAGAACTGACTTTGTCGAAGACGTTGAAATTCATCCGACCACCGCGTCAGAATGTAGTGACCTTGTTAGTGGACAAGGCATCGATAGCCACCCTGTTGAAGTTGTTATTGTGAGCGATGACATTGCCACGGCAGATGCAGACATGAGTAACAAGTATGAAATTCTAAGAAGTATCATATAATTTATGAGTAATTTTTTACAGTATTTAACAACGTTGATATACTTATAAGTATATCTGAAATACTTTCAGCAATTATAAATCATTCCATGAACATCGAGCAAGGGCGATCGAGGACACGTTAATGGAACTGTGAGTTTACATTTATGCACATTATTTTTATGATAAAAGTTCTTTAGCTATTTTAACGCAGCAGAAGCTACAGGCCAATATTTTTTTTTATTTGCAATTCTTACATAGTGGTGATTGTCAAGAGCCTGTCACAGTTCTTCGCATCTATCAAAAAAATTTCATGAGAGGACGGCCACTTGATTTAATGAACGAAACAACGATCATGGAAGGCGAAACCACGGAAATTTTCGTCTCACGTCTGAATCTATTTGAAGATGGAATGGACGAAATATTGAACGTGACGTCTGAAACTGTAGACAGGAGCTTTCCGTTAGAAGTCACGTTTACAGGGGAGAATGCTCGTGATCAGGGTGGACCAAGAAGAGAGTTTCTCTCGTCTATGTTGCAGCAAATAAAGGAAAGACTTTGCACCGAGGGTGAGGATGGAAATTTCAATCTTTGCGACAACTTGTGGCTAGAACGAGCCGTTTTTACGTTGGAGCAGGCATTATTTTTGGTATGAATTTTTTTGGTTTATCAATTACTTAACTCAAGCTTGCATGTGTTCTATGCATATGGGTATACATACACACAATAGATTTCGGACATTTTTTCTAGGCTATACCTTACTTCAAGGAGGTCCGCTTCCATGCTTTTTCTCTGAAAATCAGTTACAAAGGCTGTTTACAAATACAAATACCGAGGAAAAGATGCCCCAAGAAATACAGTTTTTAGAAGGACTTGCTTCTTTTGGTTTGGATGAGGTAAATATTGCCTACGTCTGCATGGTTTAGTAACAGTTTCTTCTAGCCCTGTTCTACCAGAAGTAATACAATAGTCCTTATTCATAGTAACGTCAAACGCTTCTGCGTGATAAAAAATACCAGCATTCCTGGCGAGACTTTCTTGATAATTATTGCAGGCAATGTCGGTCTTCGTGGTCAGGCAAAAGCGTTTGACATCATTAGGCATTAGGTCTATATCGAAGACTTTCTTATTTACTTAGTTGTTTTGTGAAAAATCAGTGTTCAATATAATATTATACTTTCATTTCAGCTGATTATGCGACGACCAATTTTAATCTACTTGTTTCGACGGACAGCTGTATCTCCCATGACATACCCAAAGATAGTCAAGCTAATGAAACCCAATTTTAGCGAGGAAGGCTCAAACAGAAGAATCCTAGAGGAGCAGAGTTATAGACACTTTCTAAAATACTGCAAAGAGGTTGCGGGTATGTAATTTTAAGGTGACACTGTAAAGAAACGTACGCGTGAATCTACTTTTAATCTTTTTATCTAGCTGGAAGAAGAGGAGTGATGAAATTAGAAAACATTTTGAAATTTGTATCAGGATCTGAATATGAGCCTGTTCTTGGTTTTTCCATATCGCCTCAGATAGATTTTGTGATGTCAGAATCTTCATATCCCACTGCTAACACGTGCATCAACAAATTATGTTTGGTAATTGGTGACAAAAATGTTGGCGGAGGAGCAGAGAAGAGTTGACGTTTTTGATTTGGCATTTGCCAATACATACTTTGGCATGGTGTAGATAAGTCATTGGCATGCCTGTCTTCCTTGTTTTTGTTATTGTATTTTATGCTTACATGCAGTTATATGATACATTTTTGTTGATATTTTACATTATTTTACATTGCGTTGATGATATACATGATCGTAATATAGGCTATATATCGTATGTACGGTATTAATCAAAAGTACTCGAACACCCTTTGGTCATACCTATTTTAATACAGAACCAATTTGAATTGTAATTTGTGTGGGTATGATAATATGCACTCACAAACAGTTTTAGCCGGAAATAGCGATCATCCGCAAGTACATTTCTGACCAACCAACTTATCTACAACCATTGTGACCATATATAAAGTTGATTGTTAAAATTTTTCCAACAAAATAAAACGCTCACAACAGTCTCTAACCCTTAAATATCATTCATATAAATATCTCCCAATTCATTTTTAGAAAAATGTAGTAAATGGCACTCGTTGGACTAGAAATGTACTTCCGATTGAAAATGGCAATTTAAAAAACTGGTGAACAGTGTGTAATAATATATCTTGTTCTATAACATGTTAAATTTTTGTATAAGATGCTTTTATTTTAAAATAGATATTTGCATTGTTATGAGGGCTGAAAACCGCACGTGTTTAAATACTTTTGATCAGTATACTGTGTATAGTGTGTATCTAGCTATCAAATATCATCCACGTTCCATATATCTATTATATATCACATATAATATTTCCATATATTTTTATCATATGTCTTTATATCCTAGGTTTGTTAAAATTGAAGATATCTTATCTTATGTTGTGTTTCACGAACTCTAAGTACTTTATGGTTATTGTCTAAGGTAATTCGTTTAACATGGAATTTAATGTCTGTACGGCTTGCAAATAAGGCTGTATATTCCACAAGTCATCAGCACTTACAACTTGAAGTGTGCCTCTAAAGACAGCAAGGTGTTCTTCAGATAACGGGCAAATTGTTTCCGGAATTGTGACGGCATCTAGCTCATTAACATCTTCAGGAAGATATGCATCACCATCGATTCCAAAGGACTGAATTTCGGCCTACATTGAAAAAAAGTAAATTTTAATGCAACAAATAAAATTTTTCACAACTCTGGTAAAAAGCCCGTTTATTGCACCTCATTTAAATGTTCGAAGTACTCATTAGATATTAAGTTGCTTTCTCCGCCAATTTGTTGCATCCCCATTAAGAACAGCTGTAGTGGTGTTTTGTTTCCAGCCGTGCGCAACTTGTGATGCAACCACGAATCTGAGAATCTTTTTAGCATTTCATTTATTATCGGCTGATAGACCTCGTGTAGACAGAACAAATTATGTTCGTTATCAGGATTAAGAACTCCGTCAGCTTCCATATTCATAAAATGATCATAAAATAGAGAGAGAACGGTTTGGTAAACGTCTCGCCAAAGACGTTCAATGCGGCTATTGTGAACGCTTCGTCCCGTAATATAACTTCCTCTTCCTGGACCTCTCGATTCGTGAGCAAGCATATAGCGTGCGACATCTCTGTTCTCCACGCCCATATCGCCACGTACTCTTGAGGGCAACCCCCATGCGCTAACGCCATCCTTGAACAAACGAAGAACTGTCGCAGATGTATTGTCGGTGCTACAAGCAAGGTAGACAACCACCCTACTAAATCCGTCAACGCATCCATGAACAATAAAACGCCACCTTCGAAATAAGATTTAGTTATAAAATTAAGCATGGAAAAAGTACTTTTATTCTATTTTGGCATAAATTGATACGAAACCAAACCTAATAAGTTTGTGATTGCCATCCATATGCCAGAGAGCTAGAGGTGAGTGAACATTGTATACACGCCTTTGTATTACAGTCATCGCCCGTATGCGTCGTCCAACTGGATCTACACGTTTTAAAGAATCACGAAGCCGCCTTCTCTGCACACAAACTCCGAGAGATCTTAGCTCGCCTTCAATTGTTTTTTCCCCTAAATATACGTTCTGTTATTGCATTAAATTACGAGGTCACACGTTGGCCAACGTGAGATCTCTAAATCTGGGATTTTTACTGTTTTTTAATTTGAAAACGTTTCTTTGCAGAATTTAAATTGGTTTTATGCATGCTTGAATGTTTGCATAAATTACATGCAGGAACAAGTACGCAATTTAGGTTTGCCAAACGTTCTTGCTGATCTCGCGCGTGTCATCATACTTTATGATTAAATGTGCTACGAATATTTTTAAAAACTTAAGCGAAATTACTTTTCACAATTATATCATTCACTTCTGATAAACCCTTTTTTGGATTTGGAATTCGCGCATTTGTATAACTAAAAAACGCCAAACGTCCATGATACAATGGCGGACGAGTTAAGGCGATTCTCCATTACGTCCGCCACGCCCGCGCGGGCGAAGCGCGCTTTGTTTTTCAGACCCGTCACGGTCGCATGGGCAGAATTTCAAAAGCCGCTTCGCCCGCGCGAGTGAGGTGGACGGTAATGGAGAATAGCCTTTAGTCGTTGGTCAAAATTGGCTCCCGCGCTACTGCCTCAGCGTCGGCTCAGGAATTACATGCACACGTAGTCAATAAATTTAACACATTACGCCAACAATATAATGGAATATTTCAACACTAAGCATATATTACCTGATCTAGGAAAATGCCCCACAATTCGTTGTACATAAATATCCAAACATTCGTCATCAATATTGCTATAACGACTTGCATTGGTCATATTATATTCAGCCATTCTGTTCTCGATGGTTCTTAGACTGACGCCTAACATTTCACCCATTTCCCTTTGTGTAAATCCATTGGCTTTCAAGTTGGAACATGTGAAAAATTTGATATAAGTAATGTGATATTTTTCAAAAGTCCTATTTTTGTCGACTTGCCGTCGAAGGCTGCGTCGACACGATGCCGGAAGAATTTGAAAACGCAAGAGTAATCTATTAATCAAATCTTTTCTACGTTTTCATATGGTTTTCAAATTTATCCGGCAAAGCCGTCCTCACGTATCTGTTAGATTGTTCCTTTTTCAAACGCCGAATACGCGTGGACGGAACCCGTAAGCAATCGGGAATTTCGTTTTAGACCAATCACAGTTTTGTTTACATTTTCAGTAACCCAATCAGAATGCATAAATTTTGAATGCATAAATACATAACTTTACATGAAGTGCTAAAAATTTAGGCTTACTGATTGGCTTTACCTAAAAAATGTAAACAAATATGGCGATTAGTTCAAATTCCTCCTTGCTGAATCCGTATATGACCGTAAAAATATTCTCGCGTTTTCAAATTCTTCCAGCATTGCGTGGACTAAGTAGAATTTTCGCAGTTTTCACATCAACACTACAATGTTTTTTACACCGAGTTCGATGGTTTGTTCCAAACACTAAGGAAAATTTGTAATAAGTATAAGTCATCAGTGGTTAACTAAAAATCTATCTTTATATGATGAAATTGCAAACGAGCATTTTTATACTGTCATTGAAAAAATAAAGTAGCATTATTATTTATTACCTTTGAAAAAACATAGTTGCTCTTCTGAAATAAAAAATTTCGGTCTTCCTCTACGAGCGTTCGTTTCTAAAGGAGCTTGGTAAGGACAATGTCTCTCACTCCATTGTGACTCTGATATCAATTGATTTTTTGCTCTATTTAGTTCTTCAACAATACCAATGTCGATAGAATCACAGCGCATTGCTTCTTCAGCCAGAACCCCCAAGCGCCTCATACACATATTACAATTCTCCTGCATATTTTCAGTTAAGAGTGAATCTATTTCTTGCAGACTGTCTCGTATAAGTATAAGAATCTCAACAGCCATTATACCTCTTTGCGGAAGAGCAATATTTCATACGTTTTTCAGCAGTATTTCAAACAATCCTGTAACGAGTAGCCGGGGTGGGTATATATTTAAAAACAATAGCTATTTCAATTATATTATTTCGTTTTCATAGCCAGCTATTCCAGAACTAGTTATCTTAAAATTATACATTTTAAAACCAGCTATAATTTATCAGTATATTTGAAAACTAACTCTTCCAAAACTAGCTATAGCTATTTGAAAATTGGCTATTTTAAAACAAGCTATTTTGAAACACGCTATTTTAAATCTAGCTATTTTGAAACAAGCTATTTTGAAACAAGCTATTTCACTTCTAGCTACTGGAAAACAAGCTATTTCAAAACAAGCTATTTTACAACTAGCTATTTTAAATCTAGCTATTTTGAAACAAGCTATTTTGAAACAAGCTATTTCAAAACAAGCTATTTCACTTCTAACTACTTGAAAACAAGTTATTTTAAAACTAGCTATTTCAAAACAAGCTATTTTACAACTAGCTATTTTAAATCTAGCTATTTTGAAACTAGCTATTTTAGAACTATTGCTATTTTGAAACTAGCTATTTCACTTCTAACTACTTGAAAATAAGCTATCTTAAATCTAGCTATATTTTGAAACTAGCTATTTTTTAAAACTGGCTATTACAATGCAAAACCAGTTGCACAAATTAAGACATGCAAGCAGCTTGAGACTTCTGAAAGCTGTCGCATTCTACAAGTGCTTGAAGCATTTTGCAACTCCCTGTATGATTTTACATTTGTTTGATGAATTCAACACGTGCAAGTTAATATATCAGACACTTAGGTACGCCACTTCAATTTTATGTATGTCGTGTAGCGTCCAAGGATTATCTCATTTCAGATGTTGTTAAATAATTTACGCTTTTGTTGAATCATCGTACACTTTTTAATGCTTTTCACCGTCTTTATGATTTTTGGTGGTAACGGCCGCCCATAGATACTTCTTTCAAATGCAATTAACGTCTCGCAGCGGCCGTTCAGCAGTGGTTCAGCAGCAGACAGGAGTTTCCTCTGAAAAACAATAAATTACAAACATCTAAATATTGCCACTCGTCAAGACTATGGTCAAGACCTGGGGACTAGATTTCAGACCACATCAATGATCAGTGCTCTCACTTCTAAGGATTTATCCCAGTGAAGTGAACTCTAAAAAGACTGGAACGATAACTTGGCCGCCATCTTTGAAGCCAGCACTGATGGCCGCCATGAAGGCCAAGAGTTGAAATTACACCACCAAAACAACGCCGGTTTTTATACACAAATCCATCTCATCTGATCATAAATAAAAGCTTAAAACAAGCATTGACACTTAGATTTTACTAAAAAACAAGTTTTACGAACTTGAAAAGGTGCAAACCTATTTTTTTTGCGAGTTAAAGGCGAAGTTTTTTTCCGGCCCGTTCAAATTCTTTAAATATTTCAAGTACAAAGCTGGTACCTCGCCGGTTTTTACAGTAAGATGATGCGGATTACTTAGGTCTATCCAAAAAGAGTAAATTCGTTGTTTAAAGTTGAAGTGGTCAAATAAAAATTGCACTTTTCTGGCAATTTTTTGCCAAAAAATACGATTTTTACGGAATTCTCATTCTCCCCAGTTCTTTTGAAGGCTTGATTTGCTCGCACGGCTCCCGCCTTAATCAGCAAATTATATTCAAATCGGCTTCATCCAATGACTAGTCTTTATTGTTGAGTTATCGTTCCAGTCTTATTAGAGTTCACTGATTTATCCTTAGAAATAGGAATTTTACAAAGTTTTAAGGAATTATCTAAGGAATCGCATTTTTTAAGGATTTTTTTAGGAATTTTGAGATTTTGAACATTTAGGGGCTGTTTATATGGAGACCGGGCTGGCCCGCTTACCGGGCCAGCCCGGTAAGCGGGATCTCACTACATTGTAGTTTTTATAGAAAAAATGTTTTGCGTTTATATGGCCAAACGGGCTGGCCCGCTTGCCGAGATCTCGCTTTGAAAAAGTGAGATCTCACTTACCAAGATGATGATTTCCCCATATAAACGCACGCAAGCGGGCTGGCCCAACACCGCGGAAAAATGTCTGCGCACGCGCCGAAATATCAAAATATGATGGTAAATCTAAATATCAATTTTTGGAACAAAACATGCCCATTATTTGATAAAATATAAGTTAAGAAAAGGCAAAAATATACATGACGGCCAGACAGAACATAAATTAAAAGCCTTCTAGCATTTAGAGTATCGAACGAACTGGAATTCACGGTAAATCTTCTTTTTTTACGGGGTGGCTTTAGAATATTTTTCGAAAACAAAAGTTCAAACCTAAAAGTTAAGAAAACCCGCGGAAAGTTAAGCTTTCTAATCTATTTAAATTGTAAAATACATCTTAATTTTCAATCATTGAGAACACGCAAACGTTTCGTATCTGGCGACATATATCTTTTTAATAAAACGTGTCTCAATTAAAAGTTCGGAAACTGTCGTTGCTTATTTGATAAACAAAATGTTTGAGACGAAAAATTTGTTAACAGTCACCTTTTACATGTGTCTTTGAAGAATGCCATTTCTAGGACTCTCCGGACGTTTTTTTTCTTAGTTTTTATAATGCAGTGTCTATTTATGCCCTCGAAATATGGATTTGAAGACACGAATGAAATCACTCCTTTTTGCCGCCATTTTTAGCCTTCGGAAACGTTCGGAACCACTTTTTAATTATTTTTAATCTCCCTTACAGGCAGAGTTGACGCGTGCGCAGACGTTTTTCCGCGGTGTTGGCTGGCCCGGTTGCCGGGATGAGAACTCGCAATGTACACATGCGCATCATGTACGTTTGATGCAGGCTTGCCCGATAAACGGGCCAGCCCGGTCTGCATATAAACGCAATAAAAATGTATCTCACTTACTGGGCTGGCCCGGTAAGCGGGCCAGCCCGGTCTCCATATAAACAGCCCCTAATACGGTAATATCCTTTAAACTTGAGCGTACCGATCACAATAAAAGGTATTTACAAAGGGTATTAAATCAGTGACAATATAGTTAGATTGTAACTGTTTGCGACTTGGCGTCGTTTATGTGACCCCAAATTCTGGATCCGGTGACCGGTGGACGGGAAATCTGATTGGTTGATCAGCATCATGAAAGATTTTGATTTGTTGCAAGTTCATATAAACAATAAATAGCTCATTCCGTTACAAATTCAAATATATATATAATTATATATCATATCATTCATACCACCGAATTTGAGGTCCGTACTACAAAAATATCAGACCGAGGTCCGTACATAAAAGACCGAGGTCTGATATTTCTCCAGGACGGACCGAACGTATTCGGTTAATAAGGGATTTATCACATGGCATACAGTATTTAGTTTATTTATTTATACAATGCGCTGCAGCATTCTTGCCGGCTTTTTCGCCAGCCAGTCGCATAGCAAGCACTGAAGTGGCTTCCAAAACTTTGTTTTTTATTCGTTAAATAAGAATGATATAATAATATAAACAAAAATCAAACATGAATAAATATAATATTCACATGTGTACCAAATAATGCTCTTCTTCGTCCATTCTTCATCGATATTTTTCGTGTCAAAAATAAAAGTGCAAGCTTGTTTTTGTTCAAAAATATGAGAGTTGGACCGTTGCTACGGCAACAGTCTAATACTGGGGGATTCCAGACCGGCAAAGAACCAATCAGCGCACGCCATTTTAGTCACGAGACCGCGTGCCATATAATAAATACACTTATTGACCTCATTTCCTCATTGCTTGAATTTCTTCGAATTTGTGTTGTTTATGGCAGAAAGGCATTCAAACATAGTATTTTAAAGGAGTCTTGAGGGCGTCGCATGGTTCAGACCAACGTTTTGTGTCAGGCCCCCATTCATTTATAGGGCCTGAACTTCAGGTAAGAGTGAAGTGGACGATAAACAAGTAATTTAAGGAATTTTGGGGAAATCTAAGGAATTTCTGCGCTTATTCTATTAAATTCTAAGGAATGCCAAAATTTGGTTGTGAGACAGTGAGAGCACTGTCAATGATATTCACGATTATTATGAGTGCGCCTCGAACAGGTGGTTTTCCATCGAAATTTGAGGTATAAACAACACAAGACCAAGACCCGAATCATCTGCTGCAGTAGTTGGCTTGTATGAAAATCATAATGCTGTAGCGGTCGCACGAAGGTGGAATTTACAATCCTACAGCGCAGACTGCAGGCTTAATATGTACAATATTTCGCCAGCATGTATCTGCGACGTTTAATGTTGATTTTTGACCTCAGTCTGTGTAGGGTTATCGACGAGCTACATCAGCTTAAAACAATGTTGGAATGGAACTCGGAAATGCATGCCACCGGAAAATTATCGCTCGTAAGCAATTGACAATTTTATTAGTAAAACGTGATTGTTTCAAGTGATTCACGTTATTACCGTATTCTGCAGTATAAAACAGTGAATGATAAAGCCTCACCGTATGGCTTAACCTAGTTACCTAGAGGCTAGAGCCAAGATAGCGCTGGCTATGTTTTTGTGTAAGAGTATCTATATAAATAATATAATATAGTCATCCACTTGGATCCCTTTCACCTGACTGATAATCACACATTAAAGTCTTTTCTAAATGGCTACCGTTAATAGATTTTCTGTTCACGATAGGTATAACATTCGTGTTACCGTGGCGTGCTTCAATTAGAATAGCAGAAATGTTGCATAATATCCCATACGAAATCCCCGACATAGAATCTCGTACTCGTTGTTACAAGGCTATACTAGAAATACATGCATGCAGCAACCCCTCGCCATTTTAAACGAAGCAAATTTTTTTCCTGAGCTAGCCAGACCTCAATATAATAGCTGATGTTTCACATTTTTCGGAAACAAACACATGCAGTCGTAAAGATGAAATGAATTCATCGTTTACCTGCTGTGTTACGTTGCATGCAGTTATAGTCATATAGACTTAGTTAATACTTCACTATTGCATACCTTCTAAACTCTCTAGGTCTGATCATATTTTAATGCTTTTTTTTCAGATGTTTATATATCATTTTGTTTGAATCCGCATTTCATCAATGTGTTTACGAAACATTTTTTTAAAAAATAGTTTGCAAAATGACTGTTAAATTGCCGACGTTCTTCATTAAAATACAAACATTTTGTCTTAGCCAATCAGCAAGTAGCTAATCACCAGTCCTTACACGTTCAAATTTTGCGCGTGCGCACAAGTGCCACGACCATTGAACGTCCATGGTCCATAACATAAAATTTGGACAACTTTGGATTCCGCTATATTCTGTAATAATACCCGGGTGTAATTCATAATCTCCGGAATTAATATAACACAAAACAAATATCCTTCTTATAAAGTGTGTTCCTGAGAGACATCAAAACATTTCAATAATTCTTTAAGTCGTGAAAAAACCTAAACTTACGCCTGTATTTTAAAAAGCTCACTCACACTCAAACTCATTGAGTGGAAGATCTCAATCTTCTTATGACTTTTCCATATAGCGGAATTTTCAGTCAAACAATAGCTTGATTTTCAAAGTTTTACTGATGTGAGACTTGATTTTTCTAAGATCATCACTGAAATTGGCGCAAAATGATGCTTTCTTGAGCAGTGAAGAATAATCATCTGCAGAGAGAAATACACTGTCAACTGTTTGGCACTCTTTGTCTGCAACATCCAGTGTCTTTCCTGTATAAAAATCGTGACTGTCAATGGTATTTGCTTGGCTGGGTGAACTAACTTTATATGTATATGTATGTTAATATCGTAATAACTATAGTAATTATGTAATAATGTCAATGCACACAAAAAACAGGTGTGTAGAATTACACACCAAGGTGTGTTTGACTACACACCAAGGTACGTGTGCTCAATTGCACGCCATGGTGTGTAATTTCTGCACACCTTTCTACGCGCTTTTAGAAAGCACACCTTGGTGTGTAA